CGGGCCCCGGGCCTGCTCGTGCGGCGCAACTCGGGTGAGTCCGGTCGAAGGGCGCGGCTGCGGGGGGCGGGCGTACCCTCGGCCTTTGTTCGCGCACGTGCGGGATGCTTCTGGTCGGGGGAACCGAGGGCCCCGGAACAGGAGGAAGCTGAAGGCGGGGCGGCGACGGGGTACCAGCGGACATGCGGCTCCCGTGGGGCCGGCCTTGGCAGAGGAGCGCTCCCTACTGAGCCGCCGTCGCCGTGGCGTTTGTTCCAGGCCAAGCTAGGCCGGAGTCGGGCCCCGCCGTGGCACTCACAGGGTGCTCCTGAGAGGTTCTTCGTGCGCTCTGAGAAGCGAACTGCCCTACAAGTCACAACCGGCGGGCAGCAGAGTCCCCAGGCCCCTATGACCTACGTTTGGGGGAACAGCCGAGGGGGGTTTCTCCCACGGGCTTCATTCAGCCCAGAAGGGGTGTGGTGGACAGCCGCAGGCTGCTCGCCAGCACTTGTGTTGGTTTTCTCTCCTGGGGATGGAGCCCGTACCCGGCCTGCCTGGACCCTGACTTGGTGTGTCTCCTGTTCGGCCCACCCTCTTTGTGGGACACCCAGGGTCTGGGCTCCTCTCAAAAGCACTATTTGACCTTGGGCCGATGCTGGAGGGTCAGCATCAGTCTGGGAGTGGCCTGGGGCTGTAGGAGGGTGAGGTTCCTCCTGTTCCCCTCCAAAGGAGACAGGCTGTGGCCGAGCTGGTGCTGACCCTGGGTCTGGAGGCGTCTGGCCTTGAAACCCCACAGTAGCAGAGCTCCTGCCTGGCCGGGCGTGAGAGGAGGAGCCCTCTTGTCTCAGACAGAAACCCCTCAACCTTCTCAATCTCCAGGCCCATTCTGTCCCCGTGTTGGCCCACTTCTCCCTGGCTCCCTACTATTCCCTATTCTGAAACCCAGAAGAAGGGCTCTGGGTTCAGTCCAAAGTGAGGCCAGAGCCGAGCTTTCTCTCCAGAGCAACTGCAAGCCTACGGCTGTCACTGAGCTAGGCTGTGGCCTCCTGGCCTCTGTGCTCTCTAAGATGCCTTCTCAGGGGAAGCCGGCTCCATCTTGGGCAGCTCCTGCCACTACGTGGGAGAAGCGATGACCCCTCGGACACACTGCCCTCGGTGTCCCTGACGGGCAGTGGCATGGGGGCACCCCACTTGTCCCCTCCAGAGCTGCCCTGCATAGAAGCAGACACCCTGAAGCCCTGGCAGGGAACCCAGGTCTGGAGGACATGACAGCGTGAGGCGGCGGCAGCGCTGACCCCCCCTCTTTTAAAGGAGGGCCCTCCTGGACCCGGGAGCGGACCCTGGTTGCAGTGAAGCCAGATGGTGTGCAACGGAGGCTCGTGGGGGATGTGATCCAGCGCTTTGAAAGGCGGGGCTTCAAGCTGGTGGGGATGAAGATGCTGCAGGTACCAGAGCCCTCCGCCAGTGGGAGGCCTTGAGGAGACTGGAGGGCCTTTCATGTCTCAGCCAAGTGTCAGGTGGAGAGTCCTGGCCTTGCAGCTGAAGGGGTGAGGAGGTATCTGTGCTGTAGCTGGGGCGGCAGCCCTGGTAGGTGTTATCTGCAAGGTACCCTGCGGTCACTGCTCCAGTGCAGGGTGGTGGGAGAAGCGGGGGGAATGTTACTCTCTAGGGACTCCTCTCACCCCTCCCCCAATGCCACCCAGGCGCCAGAGAGCATCCTTGCTGAACACTATCAGGACTTGCAGAGGAAGCCCTTCTACCCATCCCTCATCAGCTACATGAGCTCCGGGCCGGTGGTGGCCATGGTACAGTGGAGGGGGGGGG